CCGTGATATTGAAACAGGGTGTGGGGAGACTGGCACTCAGTTCTGTGGGATTTGACATGGATCTTTCAAACATGGCAGGAATTGTGTCCGTGCCGCTTCTTGTGATGGTGGCAACCTCCCTCTTCTCCCACCTCGAGCCCCATAGACAGTCTATCATTTACTTGAGAAATACTACACGGCTCTGCAAAGCCAACTCATTTGGCAGGGTTGTGGGGAGACAGAGATGCCCTTAAGGTCAGCCCATCAGTGGCTGCTTGTCCTCTCCAACCTCCCCCATCCAAGCCAACATCAGATGTGACCATAGTGAGACTGGGGCTAGTTCGCGTTGATCTGACTGCTCTTTCACGCAGTGCCCCGGTGCGCAGATACCAGTTCAACCAACCAAAGGGAAGCTTGGACGTGCCAGTAAAAGAGGATCACATCCACAGTACAATTAAAATCCAGGCCAAGCACTGGAGTAAACCAGGTCTTTCACAGTCAGGTAGCTGTGCCGTGCCACAGCTGGCAGCTCTTTGCACCCTCACGTACAAAAGTTTGCTTAGCTATATCTTTTTATACATATATGCACATATATGTATACGTATATACTATTATTATCCTTATATTAAGAGCTCAGCATATCTCACCGGCCTATAAATACGTTTACACTGGCCCTCCCGAGCACTGCACACCATGCCAAAGTTGAGCAGGCGACGTAAATCAGCCCAGTTGGGAGAGAATTGGGCAGCAGTTTTGCAGCTCCAGTACGACATCTATTTCAATTACAGGGGGAAAGAAATCAGAAAGAGCATTTTTATTTTACTCATTACTGCAAGCCATAAGGGACCATCAGCTTTCCTAAGCTTTTGAAATTCTCTCTTCAGCAGTTTCGGCCTTAAAACTAGTGCAAACTTTACCCAAGAAAAAAGGTCATTTTTTCCACATACAGAACATCTCAGGACTCTCAAAGGAGCAGTGTTCATACCTACCCAAGCTGAAAGGGAAAAAATAATCTTCAAAAAGTGCATCTTTGCAACTCATGGGATTGTCTCAGATTTTGATGGGAGCAGGATGAGGCCTGCGGGCTCTGTTTATGCCCAGCTTGTTAAATATAATTTCTAATGCTTTGCTTTTGGGTTGTTTAGGCTTGTGTATTTAAATAATTTTTGTTCTCAGGACTGAAAAGAAGCAAGTAAATTCAGGAAACATGAGTTTAATAATCCTGTCCATGTTCTAGTAAAATCAAGAGCAGCATCCAGAGCTGATCTGGGTGCACACGGACTTGTGCTGTTACCTTAAAGCCCAGTGCGGGATCCTATAACTTCTTTTCCTTCCATTTTTAAGTGAGAGCAAGCCAGCTCTTCAGACAAATATTGCTGCAAATCGGGAGTGAAACCGCAAGGTCAGGAAATCTGTTTGGGGTAAAAATATTTGTTTTGATGTCCTGTGACCTAAATGTGAAATCTGTGTTAGATTTGCTCCGTTTGGTGTAAACAAATGTCCGTTCGTATTACCGAGGAGGAGAGGTGACAAGGGATGCTCTGTGTGGCGTGACCGCGGAAGGTCCCTTGGTCACCAAACTCACATCTGGCTGCTGCCCAAGGGCAGGAGGGCTCGGACGTGGGCAGGGGAGCAGCGATGCGGTGGGAGCACCGTGTGCTTTGTGCGGCTCTGCCCAGCTCGCTCAGCTCCAGGGAAGGTATGGGGACCCCTTCCTTACCCCATCACTGGGGCAACACTTTTCTGGACCAGCTCTCTGGGACACCACCATGTCTGCCTTGAAAAGAGGATGTGCTCATAGGAAAAATAGACTTGGGAACGCTGCATTGTTCCAAGTCTTGAGTCTTTTGATGGCATTCGCTGCAAGGGAACGGCCAATAAATCTGTATGCAATTACAGCAACATCCTTTTGGTATCATGACACACAGGCACTACGTCACAGACCTGTCACAGGGTTTCGCTGGGTGGTGGAAGCTTATTTTACAAGCAGGGTACAGCTCAGGCTTTGGATATTTTTGAGCATTAAAATATTTCATGAGCTTTTTTTGAACAGTTTAGGCTGGAAGGGGCCTCTGGTGATCCCAGATCCAACCCTGGCCCACACAGGGCCAGCTCAGAGCAAGCTGCTGGAGGCTGTCTTCTGCCAGGTCCCATGTGTCTCCAAGGATGGAGAGCCACCGTCCTTCTGGGTAACTGGTAGAGTTAAATAAGTTAATGTTCTGCCTAAATATTGCAGTATCGCATTCCGTCTGCCAAGAATTTTCCTTTATATTCTCTTTGTACTTCTTCTGTGGGGAAAGAGACCCAAGAGTCAAAACAAGATTAGTGTTAAGAAATCCCAGGTGCAAAATCTGGGACATTCAGAAGTCTCCTCCTGCAGCCCGCGCCGAACAGAGACAGCCGAAACATTACTCACCCAGCCAGCCTCTCCTCTGTAAGTCAGTCCCATCCTGTTTTCTACAGCAGTAAGCCCTGGTTTTAATTATTAGACTGTGATGAATGCAAATAAATATTATTCTCAGGGTTGCTCATGAACAATTCTCTTGGAATAGTCACCGGTTTGGTGTAAGCTTTGTTGGCTTTGCCAAATGATGCCCTTTCTGCTCTACAAAGTTTTTCTAGAAACAGGAGCATAATAAATGTACAGTATCAAACAAGTCTGTTCTGGCACAGTATTTGTATGAATAACCATTTTGTGCTAACACCAGTGGAAGCTGTGGGGTTCACAGGCTTCAGAACGTCCAACTGCCATTCAAATATTTGCAAATAATGAATCATGTGATCCCACAAATAACAACAAACCAACCTGGTTGCTTTCATTGAGGAAAATGATTATGAATCACTGTGTACTGTGGGCTCAATCCAACAACCACCAGCGTCAAAAGGAGTCTTTCCACAACTTCAAACAGGCAGGGAGCGGAGCTGTGTTTGCTCAGCTTTACTCGGTGTATCCCTCGCTTTCATATTGTGGGACTAAATAATAGAATTTATCAGGCAAGCAGGAATTCCCTAAAGCAGCCAAGAGTGGGCAAATGTCATCTCCTGACTGCATATGTGCAGCTCCCGCTGATGTCAGTAGGGTTATGTATGGGCAAAATGAGGTCAGGCTGTGTTGTCCTACTTTACGTGCCCTGTGGTATTACACTCAATTAAGTTTTGTCTCCCAGGACACAGCCTCCCTCCCGCTTAAGTCACCTGGAACTTTGTCACTACACAGGAGTGCAGGAGAAGGCATGAAATGCTAGTCTTTGATCTAGAGTGCAATAAGATCTAGCTCATGTATTTAGGAGCCTGCAGCTGCGCTTTGAAAAGTGGGGGGTTAAATTCCGTAGAAAATAGACCAACTCCATGAAATCCCAGCTTTGCAGACTCATGTACAGCCTTGCAGAGTATGGTGGCCTCAGCAAGACCTTTTCAAGGCAGCAGGGCATCTTCCCTGCCCTCTGCCAACGGCTCCCCGCAGCCCCTTGCACAAAATTCCTGAATATCATGGGCAGCACTTCTTGGGCAGCGCAGAAGAATCAGCCTCATCTTATGCGTGGGTGACCACATGCTAGACTGCTTTGAAAATATTAACCACTGATTATCAAGTGAAACTATAAATAGCCGTAGGATTACCAGCTGAAGGAGAAACAGTACAAAAATCCCTCATTACAGAGAAACAAGTTGCCAGAACAATGATGTGCTTTGAGGGAACCAGGTTTGGTCCTTGCCCCTTTGATGGGGTTTCTTCTGATTTCAAGCAAGCAGCTTGTTGTCTCTATGTCTTCATCAGAGATGTGCAGAAAAACACCTCTGAGGATAATTTTCTGTGGTCTATGTGGTCTACATGATGAGAAACAGAGAGATTCAGATATCGTCTACTGCCTGTGTGTCACTCTGAGGGATCTCCTCTGTGTGTACACGGTGAAACCCAAGGATGATCCGAACCTTTACATGGCAGCCTATTTGAAAGCCCTCTTATTCATATATTGGTTAACAAATTGCATTTAGTTTTTAAATCTCTCACAACTGCCAGTATTAGTCATCTTGATGTATAACACAAGCACATTTCCTACGGGATTTTCAAGTCCATTCTAAATACCTCTGGAAAAGAGGACAGCTGGCTTTTCACTAGATGTTGAACTTTGCACTGTGCATGCAAGTCACCAGGAGGACCCACAAGACAGTAGCCAGCTCAAGGCTAAGACATGATTTTGGCTTCTGATTGTGTATTTGTCTTTTAGTGCGGTCAGTGGGGCCCAGAGGGCAGTTTATTTCCCCCAGCAGTAGGTACCCGCTGGCTGGCTGGAGGGGTCTGGGTGGACAAGATTATGTACTAATGAGGGAGCTGAGACATCAAAAGCTCACATAGACATCTGAAATCATATGTCTGAACGTCGGTGTGCTAACTTCGAGCTGAATCCTGCCCAAAATGCCTCTTCAGCCCTCCATTTTCCGTGGAGTCTCTGCATGGGATGGTAGGTTACACTTGAGGCATCCTTGGTTCACCTAGTGGTCCTGGTGTAGCGTGCATATAGACTTCCATAGCTCTGCAGAGCAACAGAGCTCTGGGCCTAAATATCTTCACCCCCACCTTTGTGTCCATGCTGGGGTAAGCCCGGTATAGTCTGAAGCCAGAGCTTTCTCTGGGGCTGGTCCTGCACTGTGGGACAAGCTGAGGACTTCAGAGCAGCCACAAACCTCAGCTCCTCTCTTTCTAAGCATGGAGCACACTTGTTCAGACTTGTCTGATTTGGTATAAACACCGTACACGTATAGTGTAGTTAATTAAAACTATTCCCACTCAATTTTCCCCTGGGGGAAGGAAGGGAGAAGAGATAGATGCTCATGGGAGACATGCTCTTCACATTGCTTAATATGATCTGGAGGGGGACATGCAGTGCCGTGGGGATAAAAAGCTGCGGAGGGCTGATGGAACACCATGGAGAGCATGAAGAGCTGTCCCTGGAAAGAAATTTCCCTTCATTTGTGCACTGTCAAAGGGGAATAGCAGGGTGTTTCTAGGAAAGAAAACAAGAGACCAAGACCATCCACTCTCCAAGGCGAGGAAGTGTGGATGGAGGCTTGCCCTGACACCCACCCAACGCTGACTTCTTGCTTGGGACCTTTTGGGAACTTAGGAACCTCCTGTCCTCCAAAGCCCAGTTTTTGGGCAGCTCACAGAAAGGACAGGAGAAGTCACAAGCGGCGGGGTGTGGGCATGACACAGCCGGGTCTGTGCACCAACGTTCATTCTCGGTGACTCAGCCCTGAGGCCAGGAGCCCTCCTGGGCGTCAGACACAGAAGAACAGTCTACAACTCTCCCACCTGCTGCTCCCAAGTTACTCATGGAGACACCAGGGAGTCGCTTGGGTCTTTATTTTGTGGTGTGTGGGCTCGTTCATGGAAAGTGAGTGCCCTGGTCTGTGCAACCAACGCTGTGACATGCAGGGCTGTTTTCTACCTTTGGGAAAGGCTTGGTTCCCAAGCACGAGGTCAAGAATCCTCTGCACTGAGCACAGGACATGGGACAAGCCTTTCTGAAGCATTTTCATTTCAAATCAGCTCTGGTGTCTTGCTTTTGTCAGTGCTGAGCAGCTTGTCACTGAGCTGGCAGTGCCTCCATGGGAGGGATGCAGCTGGTACCCGCCAGTGCATGGGGTCGTGCTGCTTCTTTGGGTCCCCTGGTGCCCTCCAGCAGATGTTGAACAATACCACGTGCAGAAGAAGAGGTGCAGGCTTGTGGGACCTCACCAGTGGGGCCTGGAAGATGCTGCAGTGATTTGCAGCAAAAGCTGACATATGCACAGCAAGAAGGACCTGAGCACCACCAAGGGATTTCCACCTCCCTGGATAAGATCCCAAAGGTGCAAGGGGGCTTTGCTTTCCCCAAATCGGGAACAAACCAACTGCACTTAGTGGTGGGCAGGAGGCTGGCCCTGCAGCCCCTGGCCTGTCAAAGACCGAGCGGGCAGGCGGCTGGGTGGCAGCGATGCCATTTTGGAGGGAGCTGTGGTACGGGTTCCTCACCCAGGGCTCAGGCACTTGTGACCCCACAACGAGAGGAGCCAGCACAGTAGGGCTTAAGCAAGCCCAGGTGTCCAAAATGAAGGAAAGATCAGATTTCACGCTGTAGGTTCCCAAGGAACCAAATTGTTACTTTACCAGTGTAAAAGAAGTCAAGTTTGGGCTCCCCTTGGAGCTGCTGTTTGCAGCAGGAACACGTTTCGTCTGATCACGAGGTGTTCAGTTTTAGGGTTTTTTTTCTCTCATCAAGGAAAAGTCTGTACTTTGGTTATGAACCGAAGTGAGAATGAAACACACCTAAATAATCTTTCACCTTTGGGTATAACAGAATAAGCAGCAAAATTGGACTATCTTCTTGCAGATTCGTACATCGGAGCTATTCCTGTTTATGGGGATCTTGACAAGAGAGAACTATTTACTGAGAGTTAAATAATGACATCTGTTATCATGATTATCAAATCCAGTTGAAGATGTTTCATATTAAAAAAGAAACTCAGGGCCAAATTTCCTCTCGACGAATATAGGCACAGCTTTATAAACTTCTTTAAAGTTTCACTCTTTACACCAGAATAAAATTCAGCCCAAGGAGCTTCTATAAACAAGTACTACACACATGTGCAAAAAGAGTTTGCTTTTTAAAAATCTCACCCAAAAAAACCCCAAGAAAGCAGAAACAAAACCCCAGACCTTTTAGGATTTGTTCCTTTCGGTGGAATCAAAGTGACCTCTAGTGATTCCCCGTTAACCGTGCAGCTCGGCAGCCGCCCGCGCAGAGCACGAGTGGTGCGACGGCACGCTGCTCTCTCCTCCGGCGTAAATGCAGTCGATACTTGATTAAAGTGAAACTATAGCAATTAGTGACTGTTACAATGGCCGTTCCTACAATTCAAGTACATAATATTTTCCCAAACTCTATCGTTTCTTTTCATGCGTGTCGCACACTGTTAAGAGATGAGGACTGTTTTTATTAGCCCATTAAAAATAAGAAACACAATGAATTTATTAGTAACTTATCATCCATGTGTCTTCTGGCACTGCTGACATGCTGTTCTTGGGAACAGGCAGGATAGGAAGTGCGCTAGATTTGTGATTTAAGTCGTTTGTTCCTACTTTTTGGAACAGTCACAGGCTGATTGCAAAATTATTACCAGTTGTGTAGCGAGCATGGAGTGCTCCTGCAGGGCTAAGCCATACCCATCCCTGGGCTGAACCAGGCTGAGCAACGGGAGAGAGATCTTCACCTCTACAAGGTCATCGCTTTCCTCCCAAACTATCAAGTTAAAAAAAAGGAGCGCAGAGTTTGTCAGCAGTGGGGGAAACTAAAAATATATATCAGCACAATTATGTTGGCTTCCCATGAAATCAATAGAAAAGGGGGTTAGAAATGGGATGCAGTCATTCAGAGGCAATGCAGGGGAAGCTCAGTCAGCAGCGAGATGGTTGCGTGTTCTGGCCTAATATTCCCCAGGGATATTTCAAGGTTGAAGCAGGGAGAAAAAATCCTTTGTTCCTTAGGCACAGGAGATACGGATGGGCATGAAAGAGATGCTGAGCTCTGCTGAGACTCAGAATGCAGGTAGTTTAAAAGAATGTGTCTTCCACAGGTTAGATGCATCAATCTCTGAACCAGAACTGGGTGAAAAACAGGACACTATTCCTGCCAGACAAAAATCACCCAACTGCTTTAGTTTCATGCATGTTGCGAAGAAGTTCATCTCCGACCTCTGGTTCTTCTCTGCCCAATCTCCACGTCCATTAAAGACCATGAGGTTTGGCACCTGCAGGAAGAAGGACAAGAAGACTGCTTCCCTCTTACTTTCTTTCCCTGTGGCCGGCTCTCCACAGTGGCCATGCTGGGAGCAAATTGCTGTTTGAACCTTTTCCAGGGCTGCTTTAGCGTTCCCTGTAATTTTCGTGGAGGCTCTGCCGCAGCCGCCGTAATGAAACGTGCTCCCTTGTTGTGGTCAGTGCTGCTTTCATCACCCATTTGCAACAAAGCTCTGGTTTTTTTGCCCGGATTTGTCAGCACCTTCCTCTCCCACCAGCAAGTATTATTTAGGACATTCCTAAGATACGTTTCAGAAGGACTTTCCACAGAAATGTGAAGTTTTGCAACTGGTGTCGTTGGACTTGCCAGCTCGGCCTGACCCTCTACCCGCCCCCACCAGCCCTGCGAGGGATGCCGGGGGCCCCTCCAGCCTCTCTGGGGAGTCCATGGTGTAAAACTGGGCCGTGTTCCTAACAACCGCTGCTCCCTGCTCCCGAAAGGTGCAGGTCAGACCTGGATGCTGGACTGTTATTGTCAACCTATGGTTTCACCTGCCGCCACTCAGGAGCATCTTCTGGATTCAGCCTCCTCCATCCTGGGGCATAAAGTAACTTGGATGAGTAAAATAATGCATGTGTTTGTCCAGGGCTTCAAAATTAGCCAGAGAAGACGCATTTGTCATCAGATAATGGTTCCAGCCAGCAGAGAGACCCAGGCCAGGCTCTCTGCTCTGCCAGGGTGAGCCTTCTTCAGAGCCACGGCTGGGGCGGCCCACTAACAAGTCCTGTCCATGTTTCTGTGTAAAGTCAAATATGACTCGACCTGTGTTTGCTTTGAAGGCTTAGAGACTGAAGGAAAACATTTTTATTTGTTGTGAGAAGCAAAGCCAGTGAAAACAGGTGGGTGAGAAGAAGCGGAGTGCTCAACCCAGGATGATCTGGTACTGTATCTGAAGTGTCTTTTAGACCTAGATATCCTTATTGGT